CATGGAAACACAAAGAGCCAAGTGTTCCCTCCCCCACCCAAAATGAATGCCCAAGTCCATGCAAGACAATTCAGGAGGCACAGATGAACATGGTCTCCATGTGTTGCAAACTTGATCCTGTCTAACAAACTATATTACATGATTTGTGTTCTATTAAACTCAACTTAATAAGGTACTTAAATAAAATGAATGATAAAACACTTACCCTGTTTGGGTAAGGGATATGGAATGCTGAAGTAATTCTCATAGAAGTCTAAAAGTTTCACTGCTGCATCCAAGGCATAATCAGCTTGGTTGATCTTGTCTGGTACAGTATATACAGATATCTAAAACACACAAGCATGGAAGGTTTCTGAATACGAGTATAGGTAGTTTATAGAATAGAAACTGATTTGTTCTCTGCCTTGTTTATTTCAATTATCACCCAAAAATATGAGCGCAATTAGCTGCTTGATGTAACATTTCCTGCCTCAGAAGTATCCTAAAATATGTAAGAAAAGCATGAAAGCCAAGAATGTTAAAAGAATTTTTTAAAAGAATGTTAAAAGAATTTTTTAAACTGAATTTAGATTCAGTCCCTTTTATTTATTCACCAAACAGGTACAATTGCAATGCAGGTTTCCCCATTTTACCCAGCCAAACTCAACCCTTTTTTGAAGTGACCAGAGATGAGAGCACACAAACAGATTCTGCAAATAAAACTACTAAAAATCATAATTCAAATAGTCCATCTAATTACAAACCCATTCCTTTCTTCTCGCTCAATCCCATAGCAGCTACAGACATGTAAATCTAGTTAACCAAGACCTCTAGAATTAAACCATTTCAATATTTTATTGTTCCTATCACAAAGCAAGATAGTAGAAAATGAGATAAATTTACCTTAATTCCACTGGTTGTCATCTTGCTGACTGATTTAAAATCCGAAACAATAAAGGCCACTAGATAAGTGCTCATCTTTACACTAACATCAAAATGGTCTTCAACTAGCCAATTAGCAACATTCACAGATTTCACCTAAAATTAGAGCACAACTTTTGTCACACAATAATTCTGTGGACTGGAACAACATTCATAACAAAAGGTTTGTGGAGCTTTTAAAATGTCATCACTATTATTTAAAGGGTCACTGAATAAAACAAAACTAAACTAAAGGAAAACTCACCCTTTTGTATGAACTTTTCCCTACCTATGCCTGTTATACTTAAAACTGAATGAAATTAGAGAAATAATTTCTCAATTTTTTTTCAATTTGCTTTTTACATTTGATAGTACCTTGCTATCTGCTGTAAAAGTCAATTGGTTTGTCCCGTGGCTGCATAAAAGAGCCAAACAGGGAAGAGAAAAACAGTTTAAAGAGACACAGTGAACTCGAAATCTTTTTAAGATGACATTCAAAATTTCTAATTTCTGAAAGAGAACCCTCTATATAATATGTTCTTTTAAAAAAAATGTTTCTAATTGTTTTTTTGTTTTTTGTTTTTTGCTGTTCCCCTCTTTGTGTTTATAAGGGTCTCTTCAGCAAATAAGAAATTGACAATACAGAGGAAACAGTGAAACCTACTGGACACAAAGTGCTATCCAACGCACAGGCAAACAAACCAAAAATATTTTTTCTTGCTAACAACTTTCAGTTATAGTAATATTAGCTGCTACTTGCAGCTATAATACAAGTAGCATTTTCAAACAAATGTGACTCTGTCCCTTTAAAAAAAAAGTAAAAGCAACCTTTAGCAGATACTCAGGGTACATTTCAATACAAAGATTTAGTTGCATAACTCCCTGCATAGTTAATACATGTCACACTGCATCATGCTATTTATCCCATCCTCCAAACTTCCTTGAAGGTTAATTTTTAAAGTCTAGATGGTCCCAGTTTCATGTACAAAATATGAAATTATGGGCTAGATAAGGTGCTGAATGCCCTACAAGGTGCTGAATGCCCCCAACTTCCATTGCCTCCCATGGGAGCGAGGCTGCTCAGCATCTCACAGGACTATCCCCTAAATATGAACTTTAAAACAGCCACCAATGAGGAGATAATGCATTTTTCCTTTTTAACTCGATGTTAGAACTACTAGAAACAACAAAACACATATGAGCATCAAGGTAAAACAGTTTAATATCAAAGTGAATTGCTCTTGTCTGGATATTCTGCTCTGCTTTAACTTTTTCTTAAACTAAACAATTCTAAAATGTAACATTAAAAATATCCACATACTATTGGCATATTAGATAGTGCGAGGTGCTTTGGTTCTCTCCTAATCTTAATGGAAAATCTGGCTTTGAAGGATGGTTCATCAAAACATGGGAAAGCCATGCGAGCAGCTGTTGGTTCAAACTGTGTTGATGCAAGTACCCTGTAATTAAACAAAGAGAAATAAAAAAAATCTAAATCTGAAACATGCCCCATACATTGCAGTATCAATACAGAACATCCACCTCCCTGATGCAAGACAAAAAGGTAAACTTGATGTTCACTGTATAAGTAGGTACTTATATGGCCCCCATTTCGGCAGTATCTGAACAACCCACAATACCCCTTTATCAGGCCAAGAAGTACTAATACCCCCATTTTATAGATGAGAAACTGAGACAGGATACTAAGTGTCTTGCCCAAGATCACACAGGAAGTCTGTGGCAGAGCTGAGAATGGAACCTGATCTCCTGAGTCCCATAGCACCCTAACCAGCGGACCATTCTTCCTTGCATCAAAACTTCCAGGGGCATCAATAGGAGTTCTGGTGCATTAAGGACCCCTGAATTTGGTCCATAATGACAAAATTCAATTCCTTTCTGAAAGGACTGAAAGTCCCAACAAATTAAATATTGGAATGTGATTTGGTATAAATTCAATTCTCTATAACAAAGCACAAGTCTCAGTGAAGAAAGCACAGGTTCTAAAAGAGAAATTAGAAATTAAATGAGAATAAAATCTAAAAGCAGCAATTTAGCACTGTTATACCTAAAAAGTCAAGTATAGTTCACTCTTCAGAAACAAATGTTAATTGAAAAGAGGATTACCTCACTTCTCCTTCCTGAGTTCTATAGGTGCTTTTATAAAAGCCGTGGAAACTCTCCGACAGATTTGCAGAATATTCAATGCTAACAGTGTAGTTTTGTCCAACATGCAGTGGAAAAGCTGCCAGGAGGGCAATCTGCTCAAATGGTGGGTATTCCAAAACCATCACTTCTTTTTCAGTGTGAGTATTTCTCATTCTCCTTTGGATGGTAGCCCTGGTAATTTGCAGGTGTTTGCTGTGCAGGATGACTGAACTAGTTTGTTGGTTTACTGTAATCTCTATTCTGGCAAATCCAGTAAAAGTTAGAGTGGTAAGATTAGGATGGAGGAGAAGATCATAATGCACTGGGATGACATGCTTGGGAAGCCTCATTTTATCCCAAGGAAACGGTTTGCTTCCATTGCCAGACACTACATCAGCTGTCTCCCTGTTGTTGCTACTGTGGTCATTATTCACAGAAACTGCAACATTTAAAACACCTATCGTCATCATTATCATCATCATGAGAGAGGATTTATCTGCAAATGGCAGAATAGAGAATAAGGCTGCCATTCTTGCCTTGCTTATGTTGATTTCCACATATGATAATCTAAAAAAGAAATATTTGTAAAACACAGTTAGTATTAAAGAGTTTTCTTTGCGGTAAATGTCATGGACATCACCAATGAGTACTGCCTATGATCTAAAAAAATAAGACCCTCATGCTGCAGTCAAATCCACATGGACAGACATTTGACCTGTGTGGAGCCCAAATGACTTCTGGCATAGAATCATATAAGATTAGGGTTGGAAGAGATGTGGCTCCAACAGCAAGATCAGGCCTAAACTACCTTCACGTTCTGTAACCACCTGTGTCTACTTCCATTAGCAAAGAGATTTATACACTTTTTCTTGCCATGGTCCTTCAATTCCTCTTAATTTAAAATGTCTCTGAAGGCAAACCTTTCAGGCTGTCAGTAACCTTTGATATTTTTAAAGCCACAGTATACTCACTGTTTATAAATAAATGAGAACAAGTTTTAATTGCAGTGGTATTTACTGGGAGAGAATATAAACACATAAACCCACAAAACATTATACAAAAAACAAAAGTAACAACAGAAAATGCAATTCTTATTCCTGACATACAGCCCCTGAAAGGAGCAAATAGAAGGGGATGAAGATATTTTTGAGGCTCTTGATAGAAAAGAGATCAGTAGTTTCATAATTTAGCAGACTCATGCCAAGCAGTTTCTTCTGGAGTTTTTAACTGTATATGAAAAATATTAATGTCCTGCATGAATATTTGTGAGAAGGCCTTTCCTGGCATGAGTCTGACATCTGCTCAGCTTATTTCGGGGCATGGTGCCCAAACAATGTTGTGTGGGTTTTAAGATCTGTAGCGGGTGCAGAGTTGTGAAGCAGGTGACGTTGGGAGTGCCCAGGTGAGCCTGCTGGCGGTGTAATGGTGGGGTGCCCCGGTGGCAGTGGTGGGGTGCTCGGGGGCGCTGCGGGGCTGGCAGTGCGGTGCAGCCTCGGGGTGCCTGGGGGGGGGTGTCGGCGGGAGCAGCGGGGGCGCATGGCGAGGGGCGCTCTCTGGGAGCGGGCGCTGCAGCGCGGCCTGGGCCGGGCCGCAGGAGAGGCGGTGTCAGGGCGGCGGGCTGCGCAGCCCCCTCAGCGACACGCTGCCCTGGCTGCTGCCCGCGTTTGGCGGTGAAATGCGGCTCAGCTCAGCCCGCTCACCCGCTGCCGCCAGAGGGAGGGAACCGGGACCCCTCCCCCATCTGGGCCCGGGCCTCGTGTCCCCCCGCCCCGGGAGGCGAGGCGGCTCCGCTAGCGCCCCGCCGGAGCCCGGGCCCCGAACCACCCAGCTCGCGACCCGCTCCGCGAAGGCCGGGGCTGGGTGAGCGGCGCCGGTACCTGCTGCCGGGCCCGGCGGGATGGAGGAACCGCCGCCTGCTTTAGCCGCGCCTTGGAGAGTGAAAGTGAAAGCGGAGGTGCCTCTTGGGCCCTTCCAGCCCTCCCGCCCCCAGGCTCTGTTCTCGGCACCCCGACCCTCCGGGCCTCGCCCCAGCAGCAAGGCGGTTCGGGCGACCCTACAATAACCTAGCCCCTGCCACCGAGAGGCAGCCCCAGGGAGAAGCCCGATCCTGCGGGGTGCTGAGCCCTGAGTACCTGTAGCACCCACAGGAGCCCCTGTGGATCGGGGATGCCCAGGGCAGCGCAGGGTCAGGCCCCCCGAACAAAGGAGCCAGTCCGATGTTGGCTCCCACCGCCTGTGAACGTGTGAACACTTACAGGTATAGTGTATTAAATGCTCCGCGTAGGAATGTGCTACTACCTCATGCATGGTAAGAAACGACTAGTGTAGTAAACTGCTACCTGATGTAGCAAATGCATACAGGTAGTAGTTTATTACACTGTAGTGTATGTGAAATTGCAACGTGTAGAAATGTACTATCTGTAGCAGTTATTTATACATGTAGACTGTAAGAAACAGCTTTTGTAAAAAGATGCTACTTCCCTCATAGGTCATGTTTCCTAGACCTTAAATGTTTTTTTTTTTTTTCTCTTCTCTGGACTCTCCAGTTTGTCCACATCTTTCCTGAAATGTGGCACCCAGAACTGGACACAAAACTCCAGTTGAGGCCTAATCAGCGTAGAGCGGACATCCCAGAGTTATGTTCTGGTTTTTTGGGGGGGGGTTCCCCTGTTCACCCCTACTCTGGTGTGGGGGCCCTCGGGGACCCCCTCCCCCTCCTCACCGTTCTTATTTTGTGGTTGGTTCTCACCCCCACCTCCTTTCCCCTCTCCTCCTTCCTACGAAAAAGTTTTTTTTTTTTTTTTGGGGGTTGTTTTTTTTGTTTTTGGCACAAACTTTATAAGTGTACCTTCTATGCCATTATCTCAATCATTAAGATTTTGAATAGAAACGTATCCAGAACTGACCCCTGGAGAGCCCCACTCCTTATGCCCATTTTATTTTAGTTCCATCTAGGTTTCATTTCCATAGTTTGTTTATGAGAAGGTCATGGGAGACAGTATCAAAGGCCTTACTAAAGGCAAGATATACCACATCTACCGCTTGTAGGCTTGTTACACTGTTAAAGAAAGCTATCAGGTTGGTTTTACATGTGAGACTGCTTGAAATACCTTTCTTAGCAAAGTAGGACCTGTCACTGCTGCAGGTAGCATGGTCCTACAGATAGCATTCACACACACACCAACCACCACTTCCTCTCCCCCCCCCCCCATGTATGAAACTGCAAAGTATAGGGATGTGCTACCTGTAACACTGCAACGTGATGAAGTTAATTCCTACAGACAGCAGTTTCTGACACTGCTGGTATGGGAGACTGCTATTTGTAGGAATTAGCTAAATCAGATGGCCTTTTTTAAGCAAAGTTGGACCTGTTGCAGCTGCAGGTAGCACAGTCTTGCAGATAGCATTTTCACACACACACAAAACTGCAAACTATAGGGATGTGCTACCTGTAACACTGCAATGTGATGAAACTACCCCACATCAGCCACCTTGCATAAAGTATATATTAGCTATGTCGTATCTGTATCAAAAGCATATTTGCATAAAGAATGTAGAGTATAATGTCACACCCCACATGTATGTTTGCTGATCTGCAAATAGTAAAGGAGCATGCACCTTTGGGTGCAAATGCTCATGACAGTAGTGCAGAGCCATGCAAGCTCCATGATTCTGTGTGAGATGGCAGACAGTGAGGAGGGCCAGGCAGGTTAGTAGGTTTAGAAAAAAAGGTGTAAACATTATGTATACGTTTATGTATGGGATACAAATAAAATTAGTGGATGGTTAACAATGCGTTATAAGAAGTTGGATCCCATGGCCACAACCACCCCAGTCTGACCTGTTTAGTACCCAGCATATGCTGCCAAACCAAAGCTTCCCAAAATACAGTGGGTGGACAGTAGGATATCTATTCGTGGTGCACCTCACTCTGAATCTATACAAGTGCTTCTGGTGAGTACCCTGACTGCTGAGACAAGGAGTCCAGGGGGCATGCACACAAGTGACATAGTAACCGTAGTGACTCTGTGCTGACATAACTTGAGTTAACCCACACTTAAAGTGTAGATATGGCCTTAGGTATATTAAATGTTTGGGAGTATGAGGGTAGACTAAGATTCATTCAGGTGTTTAGGGTCAAGGCATTGGAACTGGCCTTACTGCACCCTACAGGCTCAGGAACAAAGAGACACATAAAAAAAATATTTATTTATTAAAATTTCTTGACTCGAGGGTGTATAACTCATGATTTTAGAATTCTTGTGGTTATAAAGGTATCTTGGAGTTGTAGATGTGTGTTCATTATATTTTGAAAGGCAAAACTATGAATGGGTTGAACAAAGAATTAGATCAGTCCCTCAGGATAAGTACATTGGCTATTAGCCAAGATAATCAAGGGATGCAGGCCCATGCTCTGCATGTCCTTAAACCGTCCTTTGACTGTCAGATGCTGGGAGTGGACAATGGGATGGTTCAATGTGTCATTACCTGGTCTGATCATTCCCTTAGAAGCACCTGACATTGGCCACTGTCACAAGACAGGATACTAGATTAGGCGGACTATTGGTCTGACCCACGATAGCAGTTCTAATTTTCTGCAAAAATTACAATAGATTTTTTTTCCAGGGAGAAAGACATTATAGGAGATAGTATACTGCCTTTATTGAATATTTAAGAATCAAGTTGTACACAATGGCAGACGGAAAAACACTAAGGGCTAGACTGAGAGGCAAAATAACAGTTACAAAAATGCAATCCCCATTGGTGGATTGACTCAAAACAAAGTTTTGACAATAGGCCAGAAGTTCAGTCAGAGTGGAAGTCAGATGATCCAACAGAATAAACATCTGCTCTAAAAATGAAAAGAAAAAATTAGGAATTAAAATTTCACGGAATTCAGGGAATCCCAGCAGGTCAGACAACCTGGGAAACTGCTCGGAGACTCTATACCAGTGGTTCTCAAAGCCGGTCCGCCGCTTGTTCAGGGAAAGCCTCTGGCACGCCGGACCGGTTTGTTTACCTGCCGCATCCGCAGGTTCAGCCGATTGCAGCCCCCACTGGCCGTGGTTTGCCGCTCCAGGCCAATGGGTGTGCTGGCTTTCCCTGAACAAGTAGCGGTCCGGCTTTGAGAACCACTGCTCTATACATTCAGATACAGTGATAAGGGATTCTTTGTTTCCGAGGGGATATATGTAAAATGTTTCACTGAATTAAATCTTAGGGATTATCTACACTGGCAAGTTAAAGCGCTCTAATTTGCTGGCTTAGGGGTGTGAAAAATCACACATACACACACCTGAGCGCAGCAAGTTTGAGCACTTTAAAGCGCTAGTGTAGACAGGCTTGGCTCCCAGTGCTCGGAGTTAATCCCCTCGTCAAGGTGGATTACCAGGAGCACTGGCACCCGCGGCAGCGCTTTGAACTTTGTAGTGTAGACATAGCCTCAGTAGATTAGATCAGAAAAGAGGAGCTGAATTAAGTAGGATTGGATGTAAGGAGATTGATCACTTTAGATAAGCTATTACCAGCAGGAGAATGGGGTGGGGGGAGAGAAAACCTTTTGTAGTGGTAAACACCCATTTTTTCATGCTTTGTGTGTATAAAAAGATCTTCTATACTTTCCACAGTATGCATCCGATGAAGTGAGCTGTAGCTCACGAAAGCTTATGCTCAAATAAATTGGTTAGTCTCTAAGGTGCCACAAGTACTCCTTTTCTTTTAACTAGGATTGGGGTGCCTGTACCTTTAAGAACCCAGCCCTGGTAAGCCCATGCTGAGAGGTGCTGTCTGTGAGAGGGGAAAATAAAAAAGCCCCTTTTCCCCCCCACCATTTTTGCAAACACTGGTGTCTCAATCCCACTGGGCTAACTGCTATCCCTTCTGCCCCTGCCTGTGCTGGGTTTTGCCCTCTGAAACCCTCTGCCAGGGCCTCACTCCTGGGCTTAACTCCTCCTCCTCCCCCCTCATCCCTGATTTTGCCATTTAGCCCCTCTCCTAATGCTGCCTCCAGCTGCTTGACCCCCCTGACCAGTAAATTTCCACCCCCTGCTCAGATCCTGGCCAACCCCCTGCTCCGATTCGTCCCCTTTGCCACTTTTTAACCCCTGTCAAAAGCAGTCCGCAGATATCTTATAGGTAATAAGGGCAGGATGAAGCGCAGTGGCTTCAGCAGATGAACTGAGCATGCTCAGTACACCAAAACTTACACAGAGATGCAGGGGGGGGGGGGTTGCCCCCACGGGGAGGGGGCAAACTTTTTTTGGGGGGGGGGTTTAACCCCACCCAAAAAATACGTTCTCTTTAAAATTATGTTCACCAATATATTTGAATGCATGACCTATTTTCCTAGAGTAGCCAGGGACCCTGCGTTCTTTGGGGGCAAGGGCCACTCTATTCAGTAACGCTAAGAAATAATTTTGGTCTTGTAAAACTAAAAAAAAAGAGTGTTTAGAGACTGTACAACTAAGATATAATTATAATAGCATGCTTCATTTACACCTATGGTTCCACCTTATTTCCACCACTTTTTTTGTTCAGCTGCTTAAGGATTCCAAAAGTGCAACCCATAGAGAGCTGAGATATGTATATGGTCTTCTGCAGCCACTCTGTTCATTGTGGGATAGATTGTCCTTCACCCCTACCGCCAGCTGCCTAGATTCCATCTCTGGGAGTAGAAGCAAGATCATAGGGGCCTAATTCTCCCTCTTCACTCCATGAGCAAATGGCTGCAGTGGGGAGAGTTGGCCAAGCATGAGGGAGTGAAGTTACTTCCTTTCCTTTCACTACCTGCACACCTCAGCAAGTTGGACACGTGAGGAATTGTAACTGAAAAATGACTAGGAACAAAATATTTGTTCTTTGACTACTTTATAGTTTACAGTCATGGTAGTTAATGCATGTTGAAACTTGATAAGCCATTGTAATGTAGATAAATCCCAATTCAAAATTTCTTCCTGGTGCTCCTCCTGGGACACTGCAAGTATGCATGTGTCTCTTACACAGCTCTGAGCAGAAAGGCCCAATCTAACCCTCTGCCTTAGACAGACCAGTGTAATGATTCTAACAATGCCAGACCACAAAGTCTGCTCTCTCTACAGCTTGTGGAGCCTTCACCCTTCTCTATATGAGAAAGTCATAACCAATGTAACCAGATTAGTTTAGAAACAGGTTCATTTAAATAGATGCAACCCATGTGTGTGGATACTTTAAGTTTTTAGTCTTAACTTTAGAATGCCTTATATCAAATTAGTATCAAAA